AGACCCTAACAGTCATCTACCATTACCTTCTATGCTGTTACTATTTTTTTTTTTTTTTTTTTACATAAGTAAAAAGTGACCTTTCCCCATCTGGCATGGTGGTGTGCCTCGAGATTTTTTTCATGAAACAAGTGTGCCTTTGCCCAAAAAAGGTTGGGAAACACTGCTCTAGAGGCCGGGAGCCGGCGCTGTCCGGAGACACTTCCGGGTCACGTGGCCAGTGTGACATCGCTGCTCTGGCGAGCCTGCACCAGCGCAGCACACGGAACGCCGTTTACCTTCCCGCTATAAAGCGGTCCCTATTTATCTACTTGCACTTAGGTGTGCTTTCGAACTGCTAGGTGGGCAGGAGCTGGGACCGAAAGAGGGGGGCTCACCCTGCCGCGGGGATTCAAACCGCCGACCATACGATCAGCAAGTCCTAGGCACTGTGGTTATACCCACAGCGCCACCCGCGCCCCATAATAATGATAAATACTATCAAATTCAGGTGAGGAGCTTCCAAGATATTGTAACACACATAATGCTATAATAAGCAGAGCCTTGGAGGGCCCATAGTTCAGTGATGAAGAACATGCTTTGCTAGCAGAAGGTATTACTCCTGACATCCCCAATAAACTGATCCCAAGTGGCAGGGAAAGGCCTCTGCCCACATTGTTAGAGAACTGCTGCCTGGGCTATATCTAACTCATTGGCCTGGTTTTTATGTAATCCTAAACCATGGTTTGTTTAATAGCACACACATTAACTATGAAGTTAACAAATGACCAAATAAATCATGTCTTTTTTCCACTAAATTTGTTTTCTAGTTGCCATTGCAATTGGCTGAGTGTCTGGGGTGGGGTGGTCAAACAAATAATGGTTAAAAGGATGGTGCTGGGTTTACACATAACACCTAGCCATACTTAAAAGAAATCAAGGTTCATAACCCAACAACAAGCTATGGCTTCAGATTGCAGTTTGCTATTAATAAATAAGTCATAGTTAAAGTACTGGACAGCATTCACACATAATGCTAAACCAGGGGCCAGCAAACTTTTTCAGGAGGGGGCTGGTCCACTGTCCCTCAGACCTTGTGGGGGGCCAGATACACCCTCTCCAAAAAGCACCCCCTCCTGAAAGGACCCCCGCCACCGCCACTCACACTGCCACCGACTTGTCTTTGACATCAGCGTCCTCTGTCTCGGCGAAGCACAGAGCTCAGGCTGCTGGCCTGGGTGGCGGAGGCAGCATCCTTGCCATGGCTTCCTCCCATTCGGCTCTTCCCGCTCAGCCACTTCCTCCCACTCGGCCGCCTCTGGGTGCAGCCCCCTCCTTCCCGCTGAGGCGGCCGAGTGGGAAGAAACGGCTGAGCAGGAAGAGCCGAGTGGGAGGAAGCGACGATGGTGCGGAGGCTGCGCCAGCATCGCCGCCCGCCCAGAGGCGTCCGTGGCTTCTGATTGGCCGCAGGAGCTTCCTGCAGCCAATCAGAAGCAGCGTTGCATCGCGGAAGTCAGTCCCCACGCGGCGAGCCCTCCATGCCGCGTTGGTTTAGCGTGGGGACTGACTGAGTGGGCGGCAGGGTCTGCAAGGTTTGCGGGCTGGATTAACGAGCCCAGCGGGCTGCATCCAGCCTGCAGGCCTTAGTTTGCCAACCCCTGTGCTAGACCATTGTTTAATAAAACAAGTTTAATAAACCAAGTTAAGTATTATGAGAGAACCAGGCTAATATAAGGTTGGATTCAGTATAAGGCAAATTGCTATATTCACCTGCAAATAAGTCCACAAGAATTACTAACCCACACATGTCAGAACTTCATTGCAGTGAAACTAGACATGATGAGGGAAACCCAAGGGTCCCAATCTCATGTTTCCGTTGTAAGGCTTAAGGTAGAGCAGCTAACAATTACCTTACCCCCTGATTCTTCTTTTAAAATTCAAGCTACCTGGCAGTTTTTAATTCCCCTACTCCCAGCCAGGCTCTGACTGAAACAAGTAGTAAGGGGGGTGGACAGCTTTGGGGTGCATCTGCAGAAGAGAATCAGCAGGCAACTGAAGGATTAACAGCCCTCTCCACTGCTAGCCTTCCCTTGTCAGAGCCCCGTCCCTAACACGCTCATTATCTAGGCAAGTCACACATTTGCTGATAAAAAAACGTTCCTCCCAGAAATACTACAATGTTTTCTAATGCAGAAGGCCACACCCAAGACAAAACTAATGTTATGTCTTTCTGCTTCAAAAATGGCAACTGGCTACCAATAATGAGCATTTTAAAATCACATCTGTTCACAGAAACAAACATCAGCTTGCATAACAAAAGCAAACACTTAATATTAATCACAAAAGTAGCCTGTTAACGTTCATCTTTCATTGCATGCTTGTTCAGATGCAGAGTGCAAGCTATTCTGTTTTACAAATAAATACAGGCTGCAATCCTATGCACACTTACCTGCAAGGAAGTTCTAACGAACAAAGTGGATCTTACTTCTGAGGAAACAAGCATAGAATTGTGCTATATGGCTGCAAAGCCACACACACTTAGCTGCGAGTAAATGTCACTGAACACAGTGTGACTTCCTTCCAAGTAAAGATGAATATGATTGCATTGCACAGAGATGGTCCAGTCCAATGCTTATTTATTTCCTCCCCTACTTTCCTCCCTCCTGCACATACAGTGCTAAGCATTTCTTCATAGAATATGGACCAGATTCTTCCTTAATTAAAGAAAGTACAAACAGGTCAACCAAGCAGGGACAGGACTTTAGTCCAGCTCGGACAAAGTCAGTTTCCAATGGGAAACAGCTGCTTGGAGACAAAAGGAACACATTGAACAGAAACAAAAACGCACACAAGTATATTTCTTACTTGGCAAAGCATACACATGCAACAGTTTTCCAAAGGTTGCCTGTTGAAGTTTATTAACCTAATTAGCATTATTTAAGGCACTACCATTGTTTATACTGAATTTTCATTGTCTTGGATTATTTCACACACCAGTGTTCTTATGTTAGATATTACCACAATATTACCAAAGTCACTAAATATTTGTGTGTGTACACTACCATCTTTAGTATTAAGTCCCTCTTCAATGTCTTTAATTTAAAAATGGGCTTCTTCATGACCTACAAATACATGCACTGAAGTGCCAAGAAATACAGCAAGTTAAACAAGGCAATCTTCACATTATTAGCCTCCTCTGCTCTTCACAAAAACAGCGGTATTTAACTAGGCAGATTTCTGAATATAACTGTTCTACTTGGGAGCTATAATAAGTCTGTTTCAAACAAATATTCTTACAAAGCATACTTTGTAAAATATAAAACATGCTTATGAAACAGCATTAAAGAGATTTGCCCCTCCTTTTTACAGCAGCTCTACTCATTCTTGAGCTTCGTAGCGATGTCCACAAAGAATAACCACTGAAATTATGCAATTTGTTTTTCAGGTCTCATGATTACTCAGGGATATAATTTGGAACCAGGAAGCTGTGTGGCTTTTGAATTATGTACAAACACATTCATTGACAAAACAAATCTGCCTTAGGTCAGTGTATCATGAGGATGGTGTCCCCTTTCTAAAGCTCAATACACTGGCCTCATATGTTCACAAGTGACAGATTCCCATCACAACAATGAGCACCAGACTACCACAACAATAAATGCAAGAAGGCGGCAAACGACACTTCTTCCCTGCTAGCCTGATTGAAACCGCTTGAGTTGCTTGCGTAGGCGCGTGTGCACACACACTCCAAACAGCAAGGAAGGGGTGGTGGCTGCAAACAGCTTTGCTAGTAAACCACCGAAACCCTAATTTCTAGTGTTTCTTCCAACCTCATTGTGCAGGGACCAGGGGAGAGGCCGAGAGGGACAGGTAAACATCGCAAAGTAGCAAGGGAATAGAGGGAGTGGCAGGGTCTGGGTCTCTTTCATTCATCCCAAGCAGCTCTTCCCAAAAGGAAGCACTGAGAGGGAATGCGGAAGGGGCAGAGGAATGGGGATCCAGGAAGAATGGAGGCACAAAAACAGGATGCGAGGAGGGAGAGAACCCACGGGTTGAGAGGATCCAGTGAACAGGAAAACAAGGAGGCCCTCAGACGAGGGGACTATGAAACAGGGTGTGTAAAGAGGACGCTAAAAAGGTTCTTCATACAGGATGCCATTGGGCTGGGGTATGAGAAGGGTTGAGTAAAAGAGAATGGGGGATAGGAAACTGGTAAAGGGATACAGGTGGTGGAAACAGGGTGTGTGGATCTGATGTCCTATATAGTCTACATCAAAAAAGACTAAGGCTGCAGTCATGACCCCACTGAATTCAACAAGACTTATTTCTGAAGGCTACAATCCTGTGGCACCTACACAGGAGTAAGTCCTGCGGAACACAGCGGGATTTTCTTCCAAGTCAACAAATTTAGGATTTGGGCGCAACACAGAGAAGAAGCATCTTCTGTTAGACTCTCCCCACAGTAAGTTTGTCTTCCAAGGTGCTAGACTAGCCTTTTCTCTCTCTCTCTCTGCAACAAAACTCCTCTGGAAATACCTTGCAAGGAAGAAGACCGTGAGAGGAAATGGGAATTTCCTCCTGAAGAGAAAGTAAGCGTGGACGTGTATGTGTGCGATACACGAGACTGAAGGTGCTCCCAGAGAGAAGAGGAAACTCTCAACTTCACAGGGTGGTTGTGTATTCAAAGGAAGGGGAGACTATACCCGCCGGCAGCCCCGAGCAGGGGAGACGGTCAGGGAGAGCCCCCTCAGAAAAAAGCCACGTGGTGTATGAAAAAAGGTAGGCGCAGGTGGGTGGGAGTGTGGGGCGGGGGTCGGCCTTTCAGGATGCGGGAGCCTGAAGCGCGCAAAGGAGCCAAACAAACGCCGAGCCTATTACAAGTTCCAGGGGGAGGTGGGCTCCTTCCCCCCTCACACACACATGAGGGGCGCTTCCCTGACCCCATCCTTCCCCCGCAGCCCCGAAACCCAAGGCGAGTCCGCCCGTCCCGTCCTCCCTTTCCCCACCTCCGGGTCACTCACCTCCGTCTTTCCCCGCGTGGACCGGAGCCTGAGGCGAAGGAGCGAACCGGGCGAGGGGCGCCGAGGCCAACGGAAACCGAAGCCCCGAAGACAGGCCCCGCCGCCGCCGGCAGTTTGGGTCGCCCGTCGCCCCCCTCCCTCCCTCCCTCTTTGAAAATTCCAGCGGCGCGTGCCCGCTCGCGCTCGCGCTCCCTCACCCGCTCGGCTTTCCTCTGTCAGAAAAGGAGGCGCGAGCTTTCTCAGTCTCCCTCTCTCTGCGCCTCCTCCTTCAGTTGACGGAGCCACGGTGACGCGCGCGCGCTCGCGACCAGGCGGCGGTTGGGTCCCTCATTCGGGTCCTTCCTTCCTTCCGTCTCTTTCTGTCTGTCTGTCTGTCTTGTCTCCAAGGCTCTTTCCTCTCCCCTCCCCACCCCGAAAAAACAAACAACAAACAAACAAACAAACCGCAGCAGGAAGCGAAAGCCGCGTGACCCCGGATGTGGAAAAGGAGGAGGAGGTTGAGATGTGTGTATGTATGTGAGTGAGAGAGAGAGAGAACGGGGAAAGCCCACATATACAAACACACACGGGAGCGCGCGCCCATGCACAAACAAGACCGGGCTTTCAGTGCGCACGCGCCATTTTCGGCAATTGGGGGGGTAGGGGCGGGGCTTGGCATGACGCAGGCGCGCTGGGCGCTACCTAGGTTCTGACCCGGGGTTGAGAAGGGAGAGTGAGTGAGAGAGAGAAAGAAACTGGGAGCCTTTTTTGTTGTAATTATCCGTATGTTTTTAATAAAGGGTGTGTGTTCATTCTATCAATGTTCACTTGTTTTTAATGATGTTTTTCAGGCTGCTCTTATTTTTATCTGTAAGCCATGCTGAGTCCCTGTCATAGAAAAACAAGTTAATCATAATCATAATAAATAATAATAAATATTAGCAGCTGCAGAGTGCTTTCTTAAAGCATTTATTAAACTTTTATACCGCCCTTCGTCTGCAGATCTCAGGATGGTTCATAGCACACACAAAATTATGGTCTGATTTCATTGCCAGATTATAGTAAACTTTATAACCACACAGAGAAAGCAACCGGCACAAGAGTCGGATGCTCACTTAATAATACTACTATATATAAAATTCTGGCAGCATTTGTGCACATGTAAAGGACCACTGTCAGGAGGAAATCCAACAGGCTTGCATCTGCCCCTTTGCTCTATTTCTGGCTCTGCAGAGCTGCACCTGTTGATCTTGTGCCTGTCCCTCAAAGTTGTTACTAGGAGAGAAAAACAGTTGCCATTAGCTAGAATGCTTAGTGATGTCTCCGCTGTAAAGGTGGGCAAGGGCACTCCTGGTGATAAAAGTATGGAATGGGTATAACTGACCCATCCTGTGATGAGTCATAGCAAATCACTGTCAGTTTGTCCCTAAAACAATTCCTTTTGTCAGGTGGGGCCAAACTCTTGAGGTGAATTGGGACAATTATTTCCGATTACTCATCATCTGACGTTGCAGATAGTGCATGGTTACTCACCTGTACCAAATGTCTACCTAATCCTGGAAAATTACAGAAGAGCAATGGGTCAGTTTGTGTGGCTGTTAACCAAAAGGTTAGTGGTTCGAGCCCACCCAGGGATGGCTGAGGGCAGGATTCCTGCATTGCAGAGGGGTTGGATTAGATGACCCTCGGGGTCCCTTCCAATCCCTTCCAACTCTACAATTCTAAGCTAGCAGGCTCACTTGCTATAAAGACTGGTATTATTGGGTTCTTTTCCTGGAACCTTCAGAAGAAGAAATCATATTTGGGGCACCTGTTAAAATAATGGGTGCTGCTGAAGGATGGCAAGTGATCGCTGCTTCTTTGGGCATGATTTGGGTAGGCTGCAGCCATTATAATTTCTATCTACGGTTCAAAAATGAATCAAGTCTGCACACTTAGCTCAGTTGGTTAGAGCAGTGTTTCCCAACCGGTGTTCCGCGGCACACTAGTGTGCCGCGAGATGTTGCCTGGTGTGCCGCGAGCGAGTCCAAAAAAGGTGGGAAACACTGGTTTCTCTTTCAAAAAGGAAACGTGGGTTAAAGCGGCGCCGCCGCCTCCCACTCACTTTCCTGCTCTGGCTTCCCTAACAGTTTTCCGAGTTGCGTCACTGGATCCAGCCCCCTTTTCCACATGTGACACGGGGCTGGAGGGAGGGAAAGAGGGCTTTACGTCGCGCACAAAGGCAGCCTCCTAGAAGCGCTCTGGGCCGGCGCCGTTTCGCCGAAGGCGCCGGAGGACCCCCACCCTCAGCTCCTTCAGAAAGGAAGCCCCGCCCCTCGGCTCCCTACGCCGCCAGGCAGCTCAGCTGACTGACGAGGACGTTCTGCGGGGGCGGCCGCCGCACAACCACCGCAGTTGCTGGCAGCGTCCGCAGCGCAATAAGTAACAGCGCCTGGTGCTGCCAACTCTTTCTCTCTCTCTCCCGCCCCGCCCCCAAGCTCTCGCGCGCCCCGCGTCAACATCGCCGCGCGCAGCTTCCCGAGCTCGAGGCCAGCCGCTGCACGCACGCGCCGGCTCGTCATCGGCTCCGGTTGTTGCCTTTCTCCGCCGAGGTCGGTGGACCCCGAGCCTAGGCTTCCTTCCCGCACCCCGCTTTCCGAAGACCGCACACCAGTTGGGCCAGTACATATTCCCCTCCCGTGACTGGAGCGGAATAGCCCTTTCTCTTCTTCCCCAACCCTTGTCGTTGGAGGAGTCCCTCAGTCCCTCGCTTTGCTGCCTCCTCCCCCCCCCACCCCCAAAGCTTGGAGGTTCCCCGGCAAGGGGGAGGGGAAAAATTGAAAGTTACACTTTCATGCGTCCCTCCCGGCGTGACGCTGCACGCTGACGTCACGGGGCTGTAATGGTGGTGTGCCTTGAGATTTTTTTCATCAAACAAGTGTGCCTTTGCCCAAAAAAGGTTGGGAAACACTGGGTTAGAGCATGGTGCTGACAACGGCAAGGTTGCAGGTTCCATCCCCCTATCGGACAGCTACATATTTCTGCATTGCAGGGGGTTGGACTAGATGATCCTCAGGGTCCTTTCCAAATCTATGATTCCATGTTCTGGACTGTCCCTATTGAGAGACAGTATGCCTCGGAATAGCAGATGCTAGATGAACAACCATCCGCATCTCATGGAGGCATCTGACTAACCAATGTTGAAAACTGGATGCTGAACTCAAATTATCCTTTGGTCTGATCCAATGGGGCTCTTAATACAGTGGTACCTCAGGTTACATACGCTTCAGGTTACATACGCTTCAGGTTACAGACCCCGCTAACCCAGAAATAGTACATCGGGTTAAGAACTTTGCTTCAGGATGAGAACAGAAATCGTGCTCTGGCGGCGCAGCGGCAGCAGGAGGCCCCATTAGCTAAAGTGGTGCTTTAGGTTAAGAACAGATTCAGGTTAAGAAGAGACCTCTGGAATGAATTAAGTACTTAACCCGAGGTACCACTGTAGGTTCACTGTAGGGAACCTCAGGTCTGGTATTGAAACTGGACTCAGGTCCCAGATCTGCCCAGAATCCAGATCATACCTTTCACCAGTCCTGTTCCACTGTCTCCTCACATATTTTTGTCAGGCTAGAATGTCCTGAACTAGTTAAAATGAAAAGAAAGATGTTAATTGACCAAGTAAATTTTATGTGAAAATAGTTTTGGAAAACTGCTACAATGACTTATATGGAAACTCAGCCAGGGGAACTCGCGGAAGTCACCCAACAATGTTAACAAAAGGATTACAGCTAGGATAAATGTTTGTTTGTTTGTTTTTTGATGTTTTCTTTCTATGTTTGTGGACTTGTTTGTTATAAATTTGGAAAACTAATAATTATTTTTTTTGAAAAAAATAAATAAATAGAATGTCCTGTACTGTAACGTATCTTGTCTACCTGGATGAAGATGTGGGGCTAAATGGAAACATGTGGCTCCTGTATGGCTGGAATGGAGTCTAGTGTAAAAGGTAAAAGTCACGGCTATTCTTCTGCCCATTTTGCCTCTAGCCTCGCCCTCCACTGGAATGCAGCCACCCACCTGGTTGCTCATGAGGAAAGGTGGTTTCCTGGCTATAAAAGGTTTCCGATCCCTGTCCTAGATATGTACACTATGATGCAGGCAGTTATTTAACCCTTTAAAAAATGTACCATTGAAACAAGTGATCATAGCCATCTCTTTTGGTACTGAATTCCATAGAGTTAACTCTGATTGGAGGCTTCTTAAGCATTGATTACTACAAGAGAAAACTGCAGGTGTGAGGGAATTGTTGGTAGACTTGGGGGCTTTATGTAATTTGGACTGAAATCCTATATGTATAACACTAGGGGAGCTTGTGGGCCAGAGAGGTCCTTATTTTGTTATTTTTAAAAAATACAGTATCCTTTTAGGTTGCTAGAATGGTCACTCTTATTCACTGGTACTGGACCTACCAACCGGTATTCCAGCATATGCATATGTTGTGCTGCACTAAAAGCCAGAGTTTTGTACTGAAAATAGGAACATTTGTTTATAAAAATAATAATTGCAAAATGTTTTCTGGACTTGTGAAGCTCTGTTTTAGGCATGTTTAGTTGGAAGGCAAATTCCAAAGCAAACATGCATAGGATTGCAACCGAAAAAGCTGGTTTTCTGCAGATGCACAGTACAGTCCTACAATTATTCGGATGTACTTGACTTGCCTCCTACCCCTTGCTAACGGAGCAGGTGGGGTCAGGTATAATAAGGATGAGTTCTCCCATCACCTATGCCTTCTTGGGGGCATCTTAGCTCCCACTGAGACACATGTAAGGGGCTATCAAAAGTCTTTTGTGAGGCCTTAAGACAGTGGTGGCCAAACTTGGCCCCTCCAGATGTTTTGGGACTACAATTCCCATCATCCATGACCACTGGTTCTGTTAGCTAGGGATTATGGGAGTTGTAGTCCCAAAAACATCTGGAGGGCCAAGTTTGGCCACCACTGCCTTAAGAGGAACTAAGTTTGGGTAAACGAAACTGAAAGTTCTATTCACAGAACCCTTATATACATAATACATTTAAAGCACATCCTCTCCCCTCAGAAGAATCCTGTGAAGAGTATTGTACTCACACAGCTACAGTCCCCAGCATTTTTAACTAGTTTCCTGGATTTTTGGGGAGAAGCCATGTGAATTAAATGTATTGTGTGTACGCAGAGTCCACAATTAAGAGTCGGAAGGTATTCTAAGGAGGACCATTAGGAACCTTGTTTCCAAGCTTACAACAATACTTACATTTAGCCTGGTTTTTAAAGGTCTGCTGTTTGGAGGAATTGTTATATCTTAATGTCACTATATATTAACTATGGACTGCAAGAAGATCAAACGTATCCATTCTGAAGGAAATCAGCCCTGAGTGCTCACTGGAAGGACAGATCCTGAAGCTGAAGCTCTGATACTTTGGCCACCTCATGAGAAGAGAAGACTCCCTGGAAAAGACCCTGATGTTGGGAAAGATGGAGGGCACAAGGAGAAGGGGACGACAGAAGATGAGATGGTTGGACAGTGTTCTCGAAGCTACCAGCATGAGTCTGACCAAACTGCAGGAGGCAGTGGAAGACAGGAGTGCCTGGCGTGCTCTGGTCTATGGGGTCACGAAGAGTCGGACACGACTAAACGACGATGAAAATGATATATTAATAGCTTATTAATTGATACTTTGAACTATTATTTCTAATAGAAAATAATTATACACTAATTGTTACAGAATATTTGAAGACGATGATGATATTCCTTCTGGGTTTGCCTTCTTGAAGACTCTAGACACCACTTGCCACATGATCAGCAGCATTCGCTACGTATTTCCTGTTAATTTCAACAGCTTGTCTGTGGGCAATCAGATTTGGTCACTTCATTCACAAAGCCTCACTAGCAGGAAACTAGGGAGTTATTCATACATAACTCAAGAATAGTGTGATCTTCACTGCTTGCATTTGCCTCCCTCTAGAAATAAATCTTGCCTCTGCTACTGGGAAAGGCTTCTTGCCTTTCCAGTTCTAATTGATTGCTGCCATCTAGTGATATACTGTTAGCACTCTTTATTTTTGTTATGATGATTATCTTTCAGTTATGTTAAGTTGCTGAATTGCAGAGCAAGGACATCAGGAGGGACGAGAATGGCTGCGTAAATATACTTAACATTTAGTAAATGGATTTCAGGTGCCTGAAGCACTTTATTTTTTCAGTAATCCTTGGGCTAGTCTATGATTTTATTATTTTAGCCTTAGAGGAGACTGACAATATGTGTGTGAGAGAGGACTTACATAGTCTTTTAAAGCATAAAATAGGCAGTGTGTGGTCTGTAATCTTTATTGTGTACTCGAAGGAAATTTTGTGCATAGGTATGCATTCAAACGAGGGAGTTTATCTCCATCTGTTCTCTTTACATCATTCTTCTAAAATCTTTTTATTATGTTTTCTCATGTTGTAACCAAAAAAAGCCCTGTGTGCTTTAGCCTTTCCTCCTTGGAGAACCCGTTCTTTTCAGATGGGCTCACCACCTTAGTTGAGTAAGGCTTGGCTCAACCCAATTGGTTGTACAAGAAGCTGACTACAGTAGTATAATTCTAGAGGTTCCAGGCTAGTTGGGACCCCGACTCCTGGGACAACAGGTTTTCAGCTGTATGGTAAATTGTGTCCCTAGTTTTTACAACCGCGCCAGCTTTCCCCTTGCTCTGCACAAGTAGGACAGCAGTGACCATCCACTATTACGGAACAGCAAAAACAGCCCGCTATTGGGAAAATACTTGCACAAATACCCTGTTACCCTAATTTTACGTCCTTCTCTCCATACAGTTGTACGGAAAAGGGACTATAACTGCACCATGTGCAGTTTTGGGAGAGGGTTATTGCTCTAATTGGGGGGAGGGGAGAAGATTAGGGGTTCCTTAAAGACCCCTCCAAAAAAATTAAGCCAAATCATTACCTGTTGTCTTCTAAAAACTAAGGGAGCCATAACCACAAAAGGACCCCACCCTTTCAGTTTGAATACTGGAGAAGGGACAACAAAGATTTATTAATCTTCACTTGGAGGAGCAAAGTAGCTCAAGTCAGCCCTATGTTGTTGTTGTTGTTTAGTCGTTTAGTCATGTCCGACTCTTCGTGACCCCATGGACCAAAGCACGCCAGGAACTCCTGTCTTGCACTGCCTCCCACAGTTTGGTCAAACTCATGCTGGTAGCTTTGAGAACACTGTCCAACTATCTCGTCCTCTGTCGTCCCCTTCTCCTTGTGCCCTCCATCTTTCCCAACATCAGGGTCTTTTCCAGGGAGTCTTCTCTTCTCATGAGGTGGCCAAAGTATTGGAGCCTCAGCTTCACAATCTGTCCTTCCAGTGAGCACTCAGGGCTGATTTCCTTCAGAATGGATAGGTTTGATCTTCTTGCAGTCCATGGGACTCTCAGAAGTCTCCTCCAGCACCATAATTCAAAAGCATCAATTCTTTGGCGATCAGCCTTCTTTATGGTCCAGCTCTCACTTCCATACATCACTACTGGGAAAACCATAGCTTTAACTATACGGACCTTTGTTAGCAAGGTGATGTCTCTGCTTTTTAAGATGCTGTCTAGGTTTGTCATTGCTTTTCCTCTTTTAATTTCGTGACTGCTGTCACCATCTGCAGTGATCATGGAGCCCAAGAAAGTAAAATCTCTCACTGCCTCCATTTCTTCCCCTTCTATTTGCCAGGAGGTGATGGGACCAGTGGCCTTGATCTTCGTCTTTTTGATGTTGAGCTTCAGACCATATTTTGCGCTCTCCTCTTTCACCCTCATTAAAAGATTTTTTAATTCCTCCTCACTTTCTGCCATCAAGGTTGTGTCATTTGCATATCCGAGGTTGTTGAGTTATTATAAACACAATCCTGCACGCCTATTCAGTTACCCCACCGAATTCAATGGGGCTTACACAAAGGGAAGCAGTGCAGGGTTACAGCCTTAGCAGCAACTCAGTGCCACTACTCTTACTGAGGAGCGAGCAAGCCCCACTGAACTCCTGCGTAAAAACGCACAGCATTACCCGGCGCAGCTGCACAGTCCTGTGCGCCCATAATTTCGGGGGAGCAAATTCCCAACGGGTTTGCTCCCGAGTAAATATGCACAGGGTTGGGTCATCATCCTATGCCTCGGAAGTCAGCGGGGCTCGCTTCTCAGGAGATACCTCTAGGACCGCGCAGATGCGACGCGATCGACCCTTGGGGATCTACCGCTCCGCCGCCGCGGAACCCTCCGGAGCTTTTGCTCCCCAGTGAGCGGGCGAAGCGCTGGCAGCAGGTCCCCGGGAGCGGCCCGCAGCCCAGCTATTAAGACGCCACCGGGAAGTTTGCACGCTCCGCCCGGGTTTTGCTTAGCGGCTGGTGGTTCGCAAGGTCCAAACGGGAGAGCAACCGGCTGCACAGACGCGACCGAGGAGCAGAGCGCATCCTCTCAGCTGCTCTCCTGCGCATGGAGAGACTCATGATCCCAGAGAGAGACGTGACAGGGCAGTTTTCCCAAGTCTCCTCCCCTCCCCGCTTTGCTCTGCAGTCACTTCCTGCAGCTGTTTCCATCTGTGTCCGGTTATGCTGCTCTCTCCCCCCCCCCCCACTCCACCGGCTTTCTCGCCCATCCACCGGTTCTCTTCGTAGCCCCTTTAGACCTGGCTTTTTTTAAGTTATAAAAGAGGCGCCACGAAAGCTCTCCACGACCCCATGCTCGGGGATGCGGCGCGCGCCTGGCCGGCTCCATCTCCGGGAAAATCCTTGCAGGAGCCTCCTGTGAATCGCTCTCTTTTCCTTCCACCACCAGCCTTCGCGAAGCCGGTAGGTCCATCGTCATGTCCTCGTCTCGATGTGCCTGGAATAGAATAGCCGGGGAACCGGCCTCTAAGAGCAGCTGCGACCCTACGTGCCCCATTGGACAAAGTGGGGTTGACTTGCGTGTGGACAGGGCTGTGCGTGGCTTCATTCAGCTTCGCTGCACACTCCTTTAGGGGGCATTTTGCAAAGGGGGGTGGGTTTGTTTTCTTTGCAATGCATCGCATCGGATACTGTGTGTGCCTGGTGTTGGGTGTGTGATCTATAGCACCACTAATATGCTTTCAGATAGCCAGATACAGTACTTGCAAGCTGAGTATGACGATGGCAGTCAGAAGCATGCACTACCTCTGTCATAGCCAGCAACAGGCAAAGTCTTATCCTCCATAAATTTGCCTTTTAAAAAACAACCCCTAAGTGAATGGCTTATCACCTCAAGTGCAGATCCCACGCTTTAATAAGGGTAATAAATGCACATAACATTTTAGTTATATGACCTCCCGGTGTTGCATCCTTTATATTTTACACGAGGGGCAACTGAGGATAAAGGACCTGTTCAACGAATCTGTGTGCCAAACCAACCCTTGAATGCTGGCTTTAAGCACAGCAATGAGTCACGTTTGCATCTCTGGATAACCTCCACAGCTTCCAGCATTTGGCCATGTTCCCTCATGCATTTCCTCGATTTATTAGCCACCAGAAGCATGTTGGGGGAAGGTCTACAAGACAGGATTCCCATCTATATTTTTGTTTTAGTTTGCATTTTTTAATACCACAGGTTTTAATCAGCAGTGTAGTAGTGGGGGGATGCAGGGGATCAAAGCCCTGAGACTTTTTTTATTTTCCGGAGCAGGAGTGATGATGTCACCGGTCAGAGCTCCTGGATAATTTGAGGTGCCCTCTTTGCTCCGGCAGTTGAACGAGGTAATCGTTAGGCTTTCAAGTTTGTTTCTGGCTGCTTTAGCATAGAGGCGAGGAAGATATTAAAAAGCAGGTAGATAGCGACGCGTCTTTGCAGGATAGTTTGTATCTCTAGTTAAAAGCTAAAGGTTGCATTTCACTGGCCGAATAGCTTTTACATAGAAAGCTGCCTAATATTGAGTCAGATCATTGGCCCATCTAGCTCAAGGTTGACAACACTGACTGGCAGCAGCTCTCCAGGGTTTCAGACAGGGTGTCCCTGCCAGGCCTACCTGGAGACATTTGGGATTGAACCTGGGACCTTTTGCATGCAGAGCATGTGCTGTGCATGGCACATAGGTTCACAAAACTTGCAGACCCTCCCAGTGTTTCTATTTTCCAGGGACAGTCCCGGATAAACAGAAGCCATCCTGGTTTCTCATTTGATCGCAGAATGTCCCGCTTTCCCTGAGGATGTCCCTATTTTCAGCAGAGAAATGTTGGAGGGTGTGGAGTTGTTCAACCCCCGAGCCAAGAAGATAAGTAACTATACAGCCTTTAGAAGACATCTGAAGGCAGCCCTGTATCGGGAAGTTTTTAAATGTTTAATGTTTTATTATGTTTATATACATGTTGGAAGCCACCCAAAGTAGCTGTGGCAACCCAGTCTGATGGACGGGGTGTAAATATTATTATTATTATTATTATTGAATAGGACATCCCTATTTTCATTGAACAAATGTTGGAGGGTATGAGCTTCACCCAGCATATAGTTAAACCCTGGAACCAGCTCCCACAAAAGGCAGGGCTCTAGAGGAAGATTAGATGAATTCATTGACAATCAGGGCATCATTGGCTCTCAGAACAATGCAAAGGTTGGTGCTGACCTTTAAAGCCCTATATGGCCTTGGCCCTGTACATCTCCACCCCATAGTTCAGCCCGGGCACAGAGGTCCAGCTCTGAGGGCCTTCTGGTGGTTCCCTCACTGCGAGAAGTGAAGTTGCAGGGAACCAAGTAGAGGGCCTTCTCGGTAGTGGCTCCCGCCCTGTGGAATGCCCTCCCTTCAGATGTCTATGAGATAAATAACTACACAACTTTTAGAAGACACCTGAAGGTAGCCCTGTATAGATTTTTTTTTAATGTTTTACATCTTATTATGCTTTTATATGTGCTGGAAGCCACCTGGAGTGGGCAGTATCTTCTTCTTTGGCGATCACTTGTAGTTGAGTAAGATTGTCTTCCATAAACACGGTTTTAACAGTGAGTCCGTAAGTGACTGTGGAGGCCAATTCTGGATCCACACGTTCTTCCACAGTGGGGATATTGGTTTCCGGCGGGAGTTGATCGCAGTGTGGATTTGCCAAGCGTGCCTTCCTCCTAGCATGTTTCTCCTTTGCGTCCTGAGTTCGAGTGTCTTCAAAGCCCATGACACCCTTGGTAAAGGCTGTTCTCCAACTGGAGCACTTGCAGGCAAGTGTTTCCCAATTGTCAGTGTTTATGCTACATTTTTAAAAATTTGCCTTAATGCAGTCTTTAAACCTCTTTTGTTGACCACCAGCATTACGCTTTCCATTTTAAAGTTCGGAATAAAGTAGTTGCTTTGGAAGATGATTATCAGGCATCCGCACAACATGACCAGTCCAACAAGGTTGATGTTGAAGAACCATTGCTTCGAAACTGGTGATCTTTGCTTCTTCCAGTACACAGATATTAGTTCACCTCTCTTCCCAAGTGATGTGTAAATTTTTTTGGAGACACCGTTGATGGAATCCTTTGAGGAGTTGGAGATGGCGTTTTAAGTGGTCTGTGTTTCACAAGCATACAGTAAGGTTAGCAGTACAATAGCTTTGTAAACAAGCATTTTGGTTTCCCTGCGAATGTCCCGGTCCTCAAACACTCTGCACTTCAATCGGGAGAAAGCCACACTCGCAGAGCTCAGGCGATGCTGGATTTTGGCATCATTGTTGGCCCTTGTGGAAAGATAACTGCCTAGGTAGGAGAAGTATATAAATAACAACAACAAGGTATGATAACTATGTTCCCCCTCCACTGTTGGAGACAGTATGCTCTGAATGCCAGTTGCTGGGAATCACGAATGGGGAGAGTTCCTGTGGCTCTCAGGTCCTGCTTGCATCTGGCTCACCAATAGGGAGGAACTGATTGATGAAGTGGAAGTGCACAGAAACTTGGGAGGAAGTGATTATGTTCTCCTGGGTCTCAGGATACAGAGGCAAGGGGAAACTGAGTGTAGTCAGACATGCACTCTGGATTTTAAGAAAAGCGGAAGGAGCTACTGGATGTGATCCCTTAGTCAGAAATATTCAATGAGTCCAAGAAGGATGGGAGTTTCTAAAAGGAGAAATATTGAAGGCCCAAATACAGACAATACCAACAAGACAGAAAATTGGGAAGCAAGATGAGCACTTGAAGGAGCTGGGTATGTTTAACCTGGAAAAGAGGAGGCTGAGAGGAGATAGGATAGCCAGCTTCAGATATCTTAAATGCCGTCACATGGAGGAGGGATCATGCTTATTTTTTCCTGCTCTTGAGGGTAGGACTCGAACCAATGGCTTCAAGATGCAAGAAAGGAGATTCCGACTAAACATTTGGGGAAAAACTTTCTGACAGTAAGAGCTGTTCAGCAGTGTAATAGACTCCCACAAGAGGTGGTGGACTCCCCTTCCTTGGAGGTTTTTAAGCAGATGGTTGGGTGGCCATCTGTCATGGATGCTTTAGCTCAGATTCCTTCATTGTAGGGGGTTGGACTAGATGACCCTCGAGGTCCCTTCCAACTCTATGATTATATGATTTAATGATATTGATAATAATTTGTTATTATTTATACCCTGCCCATCTGACTGGGATTCCCCAGGTACTCTGGGCAGCTCCCAACAGAATATTAAAAACACAATAAATCGGATAAAACATCTAACATTAAAAACTTCCCTAAACAGGGCTGCCTTCAGATGTCTTCTAAAAGTCAGATAGTTGTTTATTTCCTTGACATCTGATGGGAGGGCGTTCCACAGGGCGGGTGCCACTACTGAAAAAGCCCTCTGCCTGGTTCCCTGTAACCTCACTTCTCATAGCGAGGGAACCGCCAGAAGGCCCTCGGAGCTGGACCTCAGTGTCCAGGTTGAACGATGGCGGTGGAGACGCTCCTTCAGGTATTGATTGCCAAGTTATTATTATTATTATTATTATTATTCGTTACCTGACATTTTCAGAAGCTGAAGTTATAATTTTTTGGTTTTCTGAAAGCACTTTATGTGATTCTTCATCAAACGTAGTCTTTCCAAGCTAAATGTTGTCCAATCATAAAGATAATAGCAGATTTGAATTCTTCATGCCCAAAACCATATCTTTATGACCCCTCACTAAAGAAATTGGCAGGAAATTAAATTTCACCCCCTTTAACTGCACCCTAATGTTGGATGATCCTGTCTTAGTGCAACTTCTCTGTGTTTCTGGTCCAGAGCCGCCGTTGGTCTCCTGTCATCAGAGGAAGCGATGCCAGACGTTCTCTCGACAAATGATCCTCTTGCATCAAGCTGGATTTCCTCTTGCTCCTCCTGAGAAGCTCCCATCGCTTCCTATGTCAGTGGGCGCCAGGCCTGCAGCCAACTTGCGACTATCCCCACAGAAACCTCTCGGACTGGGGCCGTCCTTGCCACTCGCACAAGATGAGGAACTTGCTACAGGGGTGGAGCAGGACCCTGTGTTGGAGGAACTTTGTAAGCCTTTGTGCTGCAGGCTTTGTAACGTCACGCTGAATTCTGCACAGCAAGCCCAGGCTCATTACCAGGTGAGGAGGAAGCTGTGAACACCAGCACTGCACAGCAATAATAATAATAATAATAATAATAATAATAATAATAATAATAATAATAATAATTTTATTATTTGTACCCAACCCATCTGACTGGGTTGCCCCAGCCACTCTGGGCAGCTTCCAACAAATATAAAGGCATAATAAAACATCAAACATCAAAAATTTCCCTATACGGGGCTGCCTTCAGATGTCTTCTAAAAGGCCTATAGTAGTTTATCTGTTTGACATCTGCTGGGAGGGTGTTCCACAGGGCAGGTGCCACTACGGAGAAGGCCCTCTGTCTGGTTCCCTGTAACTTGGCTTCTCGTAGTGAGGGAACTGCCAGAAGGCCCTCAGAGCTGGACCTCAGTGTCCAGGCTGAATGATGGAGGTGGAGACACAGCACTTTGGAAGGGTGGAAAAGTTCACCTGGTGACACTGTGGTGTCAGGTGATGGCTAGGTGGGTTGCTCCGCCCTCCTGTCTAACTTGGCCCATGATGGTCAAGGAGATAACTGGCAAAATTCAGTTCCTGACCCCAGTGTAATGTCTTCAAAATCAGATCAAACCTGACATGAACTCACTAAGTGGCCTTAGGGAAGCCCGAGTCTTCCTGATTTGCAGTACGAGGATAACATTCCTGGCCTGCCTTACAAAGATGTTGTAAGGATTACTGTGTGAAGTGCTTGGAACACACAGACATGCTACACATAATAATAATAATAATAATAATAATAATTAGTAGTAGTAGTAGTGTTGCATTCTGCCTCTCACAAGAGAATGAGTCGCTATGTTCCCTAGGCCTCTTTAGCAATGCATCTTTTCTGTCTGGCAGAATTGCTCTACACTTGGAGGAGGGGATGGTTTACTGTAATACAGTGGTACCTCGGGTTACAGACGCTTCAGGTTACGGACACTTCAGGTTACAGACTCTGCTAACCCAGAAATATTACCTCAGGTTAAGAACTTTACTTCAGGATGAGAACAGAAATGGCGCGGCAGTGGCGCAGCGGCAGTGGGAGGCCCCATTAGCTAAAGTGGTACCTCAGGTTAAGAACAGTTTCAGGTTAAGAACAGACCTCCAGAACGAATTAAGATCTTAACCCGAGGTACCATTGTATTGCTGACCTCCGCAGTCAGTTGCACAGCATAAAAGGAAACATCCTAAAAGAGGTTGTGTGTACAGATGCATTATTGCGCAATGCAAGGCATCTTGACAGAAACATGTTGGGTATATCTTGAGTGTTAAAAAATGTGCAAAATGAGATGAGATTTTTGTGTGACTGAAAACTACTGCAGTTTTACATGACCAGTGGGAGGCTGTTTGTTCAACCAGTCTCTCTCTCTCTCTCTCTCTCTCTCTCTCTCACACACACACACACACACACACACACACCACCAACCTTCTAATCGGCGCTGTGGGTGGCGCTGTGGGTGAAACCACTGAGCCTAGGGCTTGCCGATTAGAAGGTTGGTGGTTCGAATCCCTGCGACGGGGTGAGCTCCCATTGCTCGGTCCCTGTTCCTGCCCACCTAGCAGTTTGAAAGCATGTCAAAGTGCAAGTAGATAAATAGGTACCGCTCCGGCGGGAAGGTAAACGGCATTTCTGTGCACTGCTCTGGTTTGCCAGAAGCAGCTTATTCATGCTGGCCACATGACCCGGAAGCTGTACGCCGGCTCCCTCGGCCAATAAAGCGAGATGAGCGCCACAACCCAGAGTCGTCCGCAACTGGACCTAACGGTCAGGGTCCCTTTACCTTTAGTAGTTAGGGGGTTGGTTGAAACGTGCTTGGTGACCTTAGGCCAGTCACTGTCTCTCAGACTAACCTACCTGCAGTGTGAGGATAAAACAGGGAGGAAGAGAACCATGTTATTTATTTATTAGTTATTAAATATGTATATTACCCTTCATCCATAGATCTCAGGGCAGTAGCGCTGGGCAATACCTGGTTTTCAGCTTTGTGATATATCACCAGCTAAACATCACAATATACAGTGGTACCTTGGGTTACATACGCTTCAGGTTACAGACTCCGCTAACCCAGAAATAGTGCTTCAGTTTAAGAACTTTGCTTCAGGGTGAGAACAGAAATTGTGCTCTGGTGACGCGGCAGCAGCAGGAGGCCCTATTAGCTAAAGTGGTGCTTCAGGTTAAGAACAGTTTCAGGTTAAGTACAGACCTCTGGAATGAATTAAGTACTTAACCCGAGGTACCACTGTATTCATAGATCACAATGTCTGAAATAAGGATGGAGCTATGTAGAGTCATTGGCTGGCTTCACGGTTTCCCCTGTGTTGTGATTTTTGTATAGCACACCCACCCACCCACCCACATCATGATTCGCGATATATTGCCAAGTCGCAAACTATTTAACTGATATCACGATATGCACTTGAAACCGGTTTTGGACCATATAGCGATATATTTCCCAGCCCTACAGGGTGGTTCACAACATCTAGAGCTCCTTGAAGGAAAGGTGGACTATAATAAACAAACAAAATACAGTGGTACCTCTGGTTACAGACGCTTCAGGTTACGTATGCATCAGGTTACAGACTCCGCTAACCCAGAAATAGTGCTTCAGGTTAAGAACTTTGCTTCAGGATGAGAACAGAAATCGTGCTTCGGCGGCACAGCTGCAGCAGGAGGCCCCATTAGCTAAAGTGGTGCTTCAGGTTAAGAACAGTTTCAGGTTAAGTATGGACCTCCGGAACGAATTAAGTACTTAACCCGAGGTACCACTGTAGGATTGTCTATTGAGTGAAAGAGTCCTACAACTGATGACAGCCACATTGTGCGGATGAAGATAAAGAACCTTTCCTCTCTCTTTTGATTAATATTGACAGTTGAGGATTGCATCGACCTTCACAGTAAACCCCACCAGCAGCCGCATTTTCTTGTCACACAGCTATATGGCTGCCCATGAAAGCTGTTAACTCAGGCTCTCTTTCCAGGGTAAAAACCATAGTAAGAAACTTCGGAATTACTATGCTGCCAACAGCTGTCCAGCTCCTGCCAGGATGGGTAGTTCCCTTGAGCCAGCCACCCAACCGGTGGTTTCCCTTCCGCTCCAGGTGAGTTAGTTGTATGGAGGTTTTGCTTTGCAGTGTGCGTTCCACAGCATGTCGACGCAGAATAATAGTAATTACTGTAATAATACATTTTTATTTGTACCCCGCCCTCCCCAGCCAGAGCCGGGCTCAGAGTGGCTAACATCATATAAATAATATAATATGCATAAGAACAACAATCAATCGATTAAAATGCATCCCCAAATTAATTCAAATAAATTAAAATTAAAACTGGACAAATGACAATCGTCAGGTTAAAATTGAAAGCGGTTAATACTCGCCAGGACCAACTGTTTACACTGATATTATAAGGACCTGTGAGCGGGCTGGGAAACATCCTTTGTGCTTGTTCTTATACAAAGAGAAAATGAGTCAGACTGAACCCTGGCCAAAGGCCTGGTGGAACAGCTCCCTTTTGCAGGCCCTGTGGAAGGATGTCAAATCTCGCAGGGCCCTAGTCTCTCGTGAGAGAGCCTTCCACCAGGCTGGGGCCACGACCGAAAAGGCCCTGGCTCTGGTTGAGGCCAGTTTAATCTCCCTGGGGCCTGGAATCTTCAGGATGTTGTTATTTGCAGAGTGTAAGGTCCTGGGACATACCAGGAGAGGTGGTCCTGTAGGTATGAGGATCCTAGGCCGTATAGGGCTTTAAAGGTTAAAACCAGCATCTTAAACCTGATTCTGTACTCCTCCGGGAGCCAGTGCAGCTGCTATAGCACCGGGTGAATGTGATCTCGCAGCGAGGACCCCATAAGGAGTCTCGCCGCGGCATTCTGCACCCACTGGAGTTTCTGGGTCAGTTTCAAGGGCAGCCCCGCGTAGAGTGAGTTACAATAATCAAGCCTGGAGGTGACCATCGTGTGGATCACAGTGGCTAGGTCAGGGCAAGAGAGGTAAGGAGCCAACTGCTTAGCTTGGCGGAGATGAAGAAATGCCGCCTTTGTTATAGCTGCAATCTGCTCCTCCATGGAAAGGGAAGCATTGAAGTATGTTCCACTGAGCTTGATGGGGATGCACTCCCTGGCCAGTGTCTATGAGACAAGGACATATACTTGCCATGTGCTTTTGTGCATGCATGTGTCTCATTCCACACAGCCAAAAGCAGCCATGCCTCTGAATACCGCTTGCTGGAAGCCACAGGAAGGAATATTGCTGTTGCCCTCATATCCTGCGTGTGGTTTCCCCCGGGGGTATCACATTGCCCACTGTGAAAACAGAATGTTGAACCAGATGGGGCTCTTCTTGTGTCCTTATGATGTATTTTTAAAAAGGTACTTATTGCTCTGCTCTGCTGAAAGCTGCTTTGGTTTTCCTACAAAAAAGCAGGGTGGAATTACATGGGTGTACTCCGGGGGGGGGGGGCGGAGAGCAAAATCTGCCAGTCGGGGAGCAAAATCAAACTCTGAAAAGGGAGGGTAAAGGCTAATTTCACATGCAAAAATGTGAACGGTGTCTGCACATTTCATTTCATATCCCAGGGTTCTGGGATAGAAAGTTACTCTTCCAAAGAAAACCCTGGGAACAGGGAGATTATGGGGGAAACTCTCTCCTTGCTGTGTCCCACGGACTCCCATGCATAAATATTGACCGCTAGATAATATATTAAATGTGTGCCGTTCAGCTAGCAGAAGCCAGCACCAAGGACTCCTGCTACCAAAAGGGGGCTTTCCTTTCTCCTTCCCCCCACATGTCTCCTGCACAAAACCACAGAGCCTAGGACTTGCCAATCAGACGGTCGGCAGTTCGAATCCCCCACGACGGGGTGATCTCCCGTTGCTCGGTCCCTGCTTCTGCCAACCTAGCAGTTAGAAAGCATGTCAAAGTGCAAGTAGATAAATAGGTACCGCTCCGGCGGGAAGGTAAACGGCGTTTCTGTGCGCTGCTCTGGTTCGCCAGAAGCGGCTTAGTCATGCTGGCCACATGACCCGGAAGCTGTATGCCGGCTCCCTCGGCCAATAAAGTGAGATGAGCACTGCAACCCCAGAGTTGGTCACGACTGGACCTAATGGTCAGGGGTCCCTTTACCTTTTTATTAAACATTAAAAGCTTCCCTAAACAGGGCTGCCTTCAGATGTCTTCTAAAAGTCTGGTAGTTGTTTTTCCCTTTGACATCTGGTGGGAGGGCGTTCCACAGGGTGGGTGCCACTACCGAGAAGGCCTTCTGCCTGGTTCCCTGTAACTTGGCTTCTCGCAGTGAGGGAACTGTCAGAAGGCCCTCGGCGCTGGACCTCAGTGTCCAGGCAGAACGATGGGGGTGGAGACGCCTCTTCAGGTATACTGGACCGAGGCTGTAGAGAAGATTGCACTGGCATCCGTGGAAGGTGCCCTCCCAGGACAATGTAATTTAAATGGAGGAGTTCATGAGGACCATGGTGCGAGGGGGAGAGGTTTTGCACTCGTTGTCCCCTTGTTTTAAACCATGATCCATGGCTCTAATGGAATGAAAAGCCAGTATTCTTTCAAGGTGAAATTCTGGTAAATTTTCTAGCTGGAGACATGGGTGCCTGAAACTCATCCAGACTCACCTATGTAGTGCTAAACTATGGTTTGGTGTTACGTGCAAACATGGCAGCTACGTGCAATATGGGATGCTGCAAAAAATTGACATCCCGCTATCAAGTTTCCCCTCTCGCCTCCAGAACATGTAGAATCACTCACCAAGTGTTGTGACGTTGCCACAGCCTGCGCTCCCCCAGTCCTAGCTAACCGTAGCCAGTGATCCAAAGGAGCTAAAGGAAACCAGTTTTGGTGGGAATGAAGATTACAGTAGCTGATGAGGTCAGCCACTGGGGGGAGACAATTTCTTATGTAAAATTTTTTATTAGATCCTGCTGTAAAGCCGTTGATCACTCCGATTGCAACTGTTTCCCCCCATCACACAGAAGTAAATGGGAGCCATTCATGCTTATGGGCACCATTTATGCTTATGGGTGAATGCAGAAAAGTGTAGGGCAAAAGAAATTGCCAACCAGAGTTGTTAACCAACGACCAACCAACACACAAGCAGTAAAAAAAAACATTATAACCACTTAAATTTACAGTTCCTTCTAGATACTGCTAGAAGCCAGTATAGACTATACAATGACTGCAACCTAGCATAACTGTAATATTTAAAAATTGACAGCAGTAGCATTTCTGTAGCCCGGGTCTTAATTGGCCATTATGCCAAAGCAAAAAGGTCGTTGAGGTTCACTGAAAAGTACTGAGGGATGGGGCTTGTGCTATGGGGCAGGTTGATAAGGCCTGTTTAAATAGACTTTGGAATGGGGCTTGGCTGACATTGCACCGAATCAATTTCCACAGTTGTGGAGCCACCACTGAAAAGGCCCCATACTGTGTGCCTGTCAGACCTGGAGTCAGACACAGGTCAGTACGAAAGACACAGGGCTCTGTTATCAGTGAAGTTAACTCTTTATCCGACAAAACAGCATATAGCTCAGCAACACTTCCCAGTAGGTCTTTATGGAGCAATTGTCAGGAATGAAGGTACTTATGGCTCCTCCTCTCCCAGATGTTTCCTAAGCAGCCTCAAACTATGTCTGTGCACCTCTGGCCTCTGTTCAGTTCTCCTCATTATTCTGCGTGTTTTGGGAGACTGGCGGGAGAGGAGCTTATTGCAGCAGGAGAGGGAGACTCCCTGGATTCTTCAGCAGTCTGTTAACCCTCCTCCTCTGCTTCAGCCTCAGAGTCTGAACTGCTCCCTGTCACTGACTCCTTCTGCCCACTTAAGCCTGTTGCTCCTCCAATGTCCGGCACCTCCTCCCTCCTCCAATCTTCTCCTCTCCTAAGTGTCCCACCACCAATCCCCTGACTGTGAGCCTTTCTCCTCTGGGGGTTCCCCGGCTGGTGCCTCCCACCACTCCTCTTCATGCAGCCAGTCCCTGAGAATGCCCACCAACCAAATGAGTAAGTACAAGAACATCCGTTTTGAAGAACGAGCCACATTGATGTGCCTTAATGCCTTTCCCCCCCTTTCTGACCAGGGCGCTTCCTCAAAACCAGGAGGGCGGGTGATCCTGGCCACAGAAAATGACTACTGCAAATTGTGTGACGCTTCGTTCAGTTCGCCGGCTGTGGCCCAGGCTCACTACCAAGGGAAGAATCACGCAAAGAGGTTGCGCCTGGCTGAAGCTCAAAACAACGCATTCTCGTAGGTATTACTGAACTTCTTTGAGAGTGAGGGGTTGTGATTGGAATGGCTTTTGCTAACCTTGTCTGGTGACACCTGTAAAATATATCTCCTCGTCTTCCCACACCCCTGCTCCTTTCTTCTTCTCCTCCTCCTCCTCCTTCTTCTTCTTCTTCTTCTTCTTCTTCTTCTTCTTCTTCTTCTTCTTCTTCTTCTTCTTCTTGTCTTCACAACACCAGGGAGTCATCAGAAGTGGTGGGCAAAAGGAAGATGCGGAAAGTAGGGAACGAATACAAGATGATGCAGAGCAGACGAAACGTCTATGCCGTCCAGAGTAACACAGGTACTTCTCATATTTGCTGTCGCGGCTAAAAAATAACTGCTGTTTCTTTAATACAAAAAGGAACTGAGTCAGCATGACTCATGAAACCTTCCACCTACGTATGCTTGTATATAGGGTGGTCATTGATGGTCTCTTTGTGGCGTGGGTTGGGTTGGTCAGATGGTTGAAAGCTGGTTGCGTTAATATGTATAAAGCTGTCGGTCGTGGTGGGATAAGAAGACTTTTAAGAATAAAAGCAGCAATACTCTGCAAAAATACTCTTTCTCAAGGACTCTCTTGTGTCAACTAGGGTCTGAGGACCAGGCAAAGGAGTCAAAGGAGGTCAGAACCTTTTCTTTTTCAAACACTGACAATTTGCATCCTATTCAGTGTGTGTTATTTCTAGTTGAAGCTAGAGACCTCCTTTTGCGCAATAGCAGAGCCAGGTTAGGGATGAGAGGCCTTGTGATTCCAGAATCATTGCAGCCAATTACCAGTTCTACATCCATAGCTGAAGCTGTAGCCTGGGACATAGCAAGAGGGAGGTTTACTAATACAATAGGGCTGGGCAGGGACCCCCCCACCTGCCCTGTGGCCCTCAGATCACAGCAATTTATCCTGTGCTGCACCCCAAAACAATTCAGGGAGGAGTCAGGCTAAGTTGTTGTTGTTGTGATGACACTTTAAAGGCTGACATTCATTACAACATAAACTTTGGTGGGTTACAGTCTAATAATAATAATAATAATAAATAATTGTACCCTGCCCATCTGACTGGGTCGCTCCAGCCACTCTGGGCAGCTTCCAGCATATACAGAAACATGATCAAACACCAAACATTTAAAAATTCCCGATACAGAGCTGCCTCCAGATGTCTTCTAGAAGTCGTGTAGTTCTTTATCTCCTTGACATCGGTTGGAAGAGTGTTCCAAGGAGGTTGCCACTGCCAAGAAGGCCCTCTGCCTGGTTCCCTAGATGCATAAACGGTTAACGTTTATGCCACAAACAAGTTTATTTGTTTACTTTCTTAATTTCTAGTCCGTCTTTCCCTCCAAGGAGCTCGAGGTGGTGTTACTGGTTCCTCCTCCCCATTTAATCCTAACAACAACCCTGCGAGGTGGGTTAAGCTGAGGGAGTGACTGATTTGAAGGTCACCCAGAGGAATTTGTGGCCAATTGGGGATTTGAACCCTGGTTTCCCAGGTCCTAGTCCACCCTGGCTCAGTTGTATATTGTTTTGGCTGCAGCAAAGAGATGACTCACTCAGCTTTGTTGTTTAGTCGTTTAGTTGTGTCCGACTCTTCGTGACCCCATGGACCAGAGCATGCCAGGCACTCCTGTCTTCCACTGCCTCCCGCAGTTTGGTCAAACTCATGCTGGTAGCTTCGAGAACACTATCCAACCATCTCGTCCTCTGTCGTCCCCTTCTCCTTGTGCCCTCCATCTTTCCCAACATCAGGGTCTTTTCCAGGGAGTCTTCTCTTCTCATGAGGTGGCCAAAGTATTGGAGCCTCAGCTTCAGGATCTGTCCTTCCAGTAAGCACTTAGGGCTGATTTCCTTCAGAATGGATAGGTTTGATCTTCTTGCAGTCCATGGGACTCTCAAGAGTCTCCTCCAGCACCATAATTCAAAAGCATCAATTCTTCGGCGATCAGCCTTCTTTATGGTCCAGCTCTCACTTCCACGCATCACTACTGGGAAAACCATAGCTTTTACTATACAGACCTTTGTTGGCAAGGTGATGTCTCTGCTTTTTAAGATGCCGTCTAGGTTTGTCATTGCTTTTCTCCCAAGAAGCAGGCGTCTTTTAATTTCGTGCCTGCTGTCACCATCTGCAGTGATCATGGAGCCCAAGAAAGTAAAATATCTCACTGCCTCCATTTCTTCCCCTTCTTTTTGCCAGGAGGTGATGGGACCAGTGACCACCATCTTGGTTCATGATCTCGCCTCAGCTACCCCTCTGAAAATAAAAAGCAAGTGGTATACCGACAGCCAACATGACATGGGGCTAAGTTATTATTTGAAGGGTTTTCAGATCCCTTGCAAACGATGGTGTGTGCAGGTTTTCTTTCTTTCTTTCTTCCTTTTTTGAAATAAGTTTATTGGGGTACTTTCTTTTTGGGGTGGGGGGAACAAGGAGCTGCTAGTCCTTCTTGGCGGCTTCTTTCCTCATGGCCGCCAAGACATTGCTCAGCTCCTCCCTCTTCCTCTTGGCGCGGATGTGGGTGCCCACCCTTTTCTTGACGAACTTCAGAGCTCGCTTGTCTTTGGAGACCTTGAGAAGCTCCATCGCGCGCCTCTAGTAGGGGGCAAAGCCACACACTTCCCGGATCATGTCGTGGACAAACTTGGTGTGTTTGGTCAGCCGCCCACAGTGTCGGCACTGGCGTGGCTTCACCACGTTCTTGGTCACCTTGTGGCCTTTGTTCAGGCCCACGGCCATCGGGTAGCGAATTGCCATGGCTGCCGCCGCTGCTGCCTTGTCCAGGTCCCGCCGGAAAAAGATGGTGTGTGCAGTTTTTTCAGGCACACACACGTATGCATACACACACAGGAGGATCCTATCCCACATGGTGCTGATTTTTGCTCCTTCACAAGCGACTTGCACCCCTGCAGAGGTGTAGTCCAATACTATCCCTGATCCCAAGGTTGATGAATGCTGCCCAGACATTGTGAGGTAGATTGGAAGAGGTAGAGGGGGAGAGTTGGTTTGGTGGTGGGGAGCCAGGGAGAAATTAGGGCAGGAACACATGAGAAACACTAAAGAGAACAAATGTTCTTCTGCAGGGAAGGTAGCAGAGGACAGAGTCTTGTATTTCTTTCGTAATTTCTTAATATATATATATATATATATATATATATATATATCTTGTGCCTTTTGGCTTTGCAAAGGCTTTGTCCTGAGGTTTCCAAAGAACCTGGGCAGTCGGTGCTGCAGAAAATGAGCATTAAAGACTTATTTGTCTGATTTTCTCTCCCCATGACCCCTGTCTGCCTGTCTGTCTTTGCCCTCACAGCACCCAAAGTTTGCTTGGGTATGTCTGCCTATTAGTGAGCCTTGGTTTCTCACTCCAGAACTTAATTTGCCATCTGCCCTTCTCGGATGCTGCTCTGAGCGGGGGGCAATTTTCTGCTCAGTTTCCTTGGCGCGAGGCCAGGTCATTTGACTTCCTGGATCCTCTTCGTTTCTGCCGTCGTCCAGAAAGACAGAGCTGGGTTAGCCACCCTCCAAGGCCATCTGCTGTGGGAATCCTTTTCACCTCCAGCATTTCCGGAGCGGAATTTTTAATAAACAGTCCAGGAGACAGACATTTTGTTTACTTGTTTTGAGTGGGTCAAGAGGTGCTTTAGCTTGATCAAGACGTAACTGAAATACGTTTTGAAAGCTTTAGGCTCAATGGAGTGATCTTGGTTTAATTGCATGTATTTATTTGAGATTTCCAGCTAACCTTTTAGAACCGTCCCTGTTGATGTCCCTAAGAATAGAACCCCTGAAATGAATGGACCTAAGTTATTCATATCCTTTATTTTCAGTGGGTCTGCTTTAAGTAGGACTAACATGGGATACAACCCAATGCAGAATTAAAGTCAGAAACAGGTTGGAATGGCCATCTGTCATGGATGCTTTAGTTGAGATTCCTTCTGTCTCAACAGTTCTGTGATTCTATTAGATAAATAATAATTAATAATAATAATAATAATAATAATAATAATAATAATATTTATACCCTGCCCATCTGACTGGGTTTCCACAGCCACCCTGGGCAGCCGCCAACAGAATATTAAAAACACGTTAAAACATCAAACATTAAAAACCTCCATAAATAGGGCTGCCTTTAGAGATCTTCTAAAGTCAGATAGTTGTTTATTTCCTTGACATCTGATGGAAGGGTGTTCCGCAGAGTGAGTGCCACTACTGAGAAGGCCTGGTTCCCTGTAACCTCATTTTCTCGCAGTGAGGGAGAGCGCCAGAAGGCCCTCGAGCGGGACCCTCAATGTCCGGGCTGAAAGATGGGGGTGGAGACGCTCCTTCAGGTATACTGGGCCGAGGCCATTTAGGGCTTTTAAAGGTGAGCACCATCACTTTGAATTGTGCTTGGAAACGTACTGGGATCCAATGTAGGTCTTTCAGGACCGGTGTTATATGGTCTTGTCGGCCACTCCCCAGTTTACCTGTCTAGCTGCCGCATAGACTGCAAAAGGCCATAATGTATCACAAAAGATTTTTCCTACCTGCATAGAGGCTTCTTGCAGGGCAAGGAGGCTGAAACAGTGTCTTCTGCTCACGGGACATGCCTGATCTATGTCCATGCCTACTAGTTGTCCACAGACAGATGTGAAACATGCATAAAACCCACTACGCATAAGACAAACGGCAAAATGAATAGACCAAGCTTCAATGTAAGAATTGCTCTCCATGACCCTTGGGGTCCCTTCCAAGTCTATGATTCTATGATTTGTGTTTCTTGTATTGTACTTTTCTGTTTGTGAATTGCCTTGAGATCAACTGAGGAAGGGGCGGTATACAAGGTTAATAAATCAGCTTCAACAACATATGGTGAGGACAGGGTGCTGCACCATGCCAGATAGGCCTTTGACCTATCCCAGTGCCTGGACTTTTCTAAGAGCCAGTGTGGTGTATGGTTAAGGAGCGGTAGACTCGTAATCTGGTGAACTGGGTTCGCTTCCCCGCTCCTCCACATGCAGCTGCTGGGGTGACCTTGGGCCAGTCACACTTCTCTGAAGTCTCTCAGTCTCACTCACCTCACAGAGTGTTTGTTGTGGGGGAGGAAGGGAAAGGAGAATGTTAGCCGCTTGAGATTCCCTTCGGGTAGTGATAAAGCGGGATATCAAATCCAAACTCCTCTTCTTCTTCTAAGGTTTTTGGCTAGTGTGAACTGGGCCCTAAGACCTCTCTCTGGCAGGACATGAATGACCTTTCCCTTCCGCTCCCTCCCTCTTCCTGCAGGCCCTTATTTCAACCCTCGCTCCCGCCAGCGGATCCCGCGTGACCTCGCCATGTGCGTCACCCCCAGCGGCCAGTTCTACTGCTCCATGTGCAACGCCGGCGCCAGCGAGGAGGCTGAGTTCCGGCAGCATCTGGAGAGCAAGCAGCACAAGAGCAAAGTCTCGGAGCAGCGCTACAAGAACGAGATGGAGAACCTGGGCTACGTACAATGAGACGGCGATTCCCGCTGGCTCCATCCTTCCTCCCTCCCTCCCCTCCCGCCAACCCTGATGGAGGGAGCAACTTCTCTCGCCTGCCGCTTGCCGTTCGCCCTGCTTTTTCTGCTCCGTGCCTTAGGAGTTCCGCTCTCCAGCGCTTTCTCTTTTTTCTCTCTCTCTGTGTTTTAAAGCACCTACAAGGCCAGCAGCGAAATAGGTGAAGCAAAAGGGTTTTTGCAAATTTCGCTGCCACTTGGCACACAAGTATGCGCTGCAGGGTGCCAAGTTCTCCGTGTTGTGTTTGCTCATTTGCTAAGGCTCAACCTTGCCTACTTCCCCCTACCCCTAATCTCCCCTTTGCATGAGACTTGGCCTGGGAAGCACCGGAGCCACAAACAGGCAGGGCGCAAGTTTCGCCCTTTTCTCTCTTCTTCTTTGTCTTCTTCTTCTTTGTTTTCGCCCTGCATTCCACTGCAGCTTCAGAAGGGGCAGTTTGGATGAGAGAAAAGCAGCCACAGTGCTGCGCCAGGAGTCCTAGCTCCATCGGCAGGCCAGAGCGCAATGGCAGAGTGCACCTCTTGCAAACAGGAGGTCCTGGCTTTGAACCTGTGCACCTTCAGTTGCATCAAAGGCTCTTGGGTACCAGGGCTGCGGAAGACCTCTGCCCCAAGGCCTGGGCGAGATGTCGCCGCTTAGAATTGCCAATACTGGGCTGGATGAGCCTGTAGAGACACAGTTGGTAGAAGACATCTTTGTCTGTTTACAAAGATTCTGCCGGTGGGCATAGAGAGGGAAAGCTAAAACTCTGCAGGGTAACTCGCTTAGAAAGTAGATATGGGGCCAGAGGTTTGTCTGTCCCCCCTCCAAAGCTAGTAAAAACCTATTGTCCCCATGGCATTCTGCACCCTTTCCTTTCATACCCATTGCCCTCCCCTCCTACAAAGTTGGAAACCAGCCATTTTTAAAAAGGGGGTTGGCGTTCCAGGTGCGTTATTATTATTTTTATTGTACAGCATCCATTCAAATATGCAAAATGAAGTATGTGAATATCCAGTTTCAGTTTATTGGGTTTACAAAACCGTGAACATCAAATACAGTGCAGAGTTATCAAGACAATATGTTGGGGAAAACGCCTGGGAAGGCCACCACCTTCCCAAGACACCGGGCGTTTCTCTGATGGTCACTCTCTGGCTGTAAAATCTTCCTCATCCAGAGAGACCGGTGATAAGCGACCCCTCCCTCCTGAGAGAGCACGCTCGTCTTCTGGCATCTCATAGCAGAAGAGCCAGTGTGGTGTAGTGGTAAGAGCAGTGGACTCGTAATCTGGTGAACCGGGTTCGCTCCCCGCTCCTCCACATGCAGCTGCTGGGTGACCTTGGGCTAGTCACACTTCTTTGAAGTCTCTCAGCCCCCAACTCACCTCACCAGAGTGTTTGTTGTGGGGGAGGAAGGGAAAGGAGAATGTTAGCCGCTTTGAGACTCATTCAGGGTAGTGATAAAGCGGGAATATCAAATCCAAGAAAGAGTCAATCAGTAGCTCTAAACTACTTTATTTTACAGTCTATATACAAAGAATACATCAGCATGTCTGTGCTCTCTCAGCCGCAGTACAGAACAGCATCGCACACAGAAGTGAAACTAAAACTTCCAACAGTATTGAGACTTCCTGTCTCACGCTCTCAGACACTCACATGATATAAACAACATAGTGCTACATACTGGAGCAGCACAGGTGGATAAAAATCCTAACAAATGTATTGGGGGTGGGGAGAGAAAGACAGACAATATGCATTCATGCAAATTGTGCCTTTTGAAAGGAGAATATAACAAAAGCCACAAGCAATCAGAAATTGTTAAAAATTCAGGCGATTTTTGACGTGGAAGTAATATGAATTTGAGCCATTCCACTTGCAGAAGTGGTGTGTGTGTGTGTTTTGGAGCACATAGTTCCAAACTCCCTGGCAGTGGATTGGGCTGGCCTCCCTAGCTTACATGTGACAAGAGGGCCCTAGTCATTTCAATACATTTAACACTGAAAGCCGTTTAAAGGTTCAGCATACTTTGAAAACACCTGGTGTCTTTTACTTTCCTTCATTTTAGTTACCGTATTTTCGCACCATAGGACGCACTTTTTCCCTCCTAAAAAGCAAGGGAAAATGTGTGTGCGTCCTATGGAGCGAATGCAGGGGGAGGCAGGCGGGAAAGCCCCCAAGAGCCGCACACAAGCTCCATGCGCTCTTGCGGGCTTTTCCACAGGAGGAGAAGGTCTGACTGGCCGCATCAGTCCCTTCTCCCACCTCCCAGGAAAGCCAGGAGAAACCGCGATCTCTTTAAAGGAGTTGTGCGGCTTCTGCGGGCTTTTGCGAGAGGTGAGGGAATCCCCCACCTCCCAGTAAGCCAGAAGAAGCCGTGCAGCCCTTTAAAGTGCGCGCGGCTTCTGCCGGTTTTGCGGGAGGTGGGGAATTCCCCCACTCCCAGAAAAGCCAGGAGAAGCGCGCAGCCCCT